TATATCAAAACACTGGTACACTTAGTGGAAATTATAACATCACATAATACCTAAGATAAGCAAAGAACAATGGCATATAGAGGAAAGAACAAGAACATAAGGAAATGACATATAGAAGGATTATTAAAAGTACATACAAGTAAAATCTATTTGTTTCTATTACAGTTCCCCTTTGGCCGTCACATGGTCTAGGGCTGGGTATCGTTCAAAGATTTTCGATATCGATACCGATACCTGACTTCGATACCGGTTCCTGAACGATACTTTTTCCAATACCAATTTTATTCTCAACAAACGGAGAACCATTGTTGTTTGTATAAAGTAACTTAATTATCACATAACCACACAATAACCAGCAAACGATGTGGGCTTTGTAGATCATTGGCAGACTTTCTGGGGAAGACCTGGTCTGATCCGGAGAGACGGCATCCATCCCGATGGGGGGAAGCAGCTCTCATTTCTAGAAATCTGGCCAAGTTTATTAGTGGATCAAATCCATGACAACCCAGAGTTGAGACCAGGAGGCAGAGTCGCAGTTTAACACACTTCTCTGCCCTTCTTTTTCAGCAGTTACTCACCCAAAACCCTACGCAGAGTCGCAGTCTAACACACTTCTCTGCTCCTCCATTTCAGGAGTTACTTAGTGAAAATCCTATAGTGACGGTGTCTGTCCCCCGACCATCGAAATTATTTAAAAACAGAAGAGGAGCTGTGCAAAAACCTCATAAAAATTAAAACCACAAGAGCAATAGTGCAAACGAATAGGAAATTAAATGTGGACTCTTAAACACATCAGATCTCTCTCCTCTAAAGGTGTACTAGTAAATGAACTAATATCAGATTATGATTTGATTTATTTGTCTTACTGAAACCTGGCTGGGTGATGGAGAATATGTTAGCCTAAATGAATCCACCCCTCCCAGTCATTAATATCACATTAGGGGGAGGTGGAGTTGCAGCTATCTTCGACTCTACCCTACTAATCAGCTGTAGACCTAAACTTAATTATAACTCATTTGAAAGTCTTGTTCTTAGTCTTTCGCACCCAAGTTGGAAATAGTCCTTAAAATGGACAAAGTTATTATTGTAGGGGACTTTAATATTCATGTGGACGTTGAGAATGACAGCTTCAGCACTGCGTTTATCTCTCTGTTAGATTCCATTGGCTTCTCTCAGAGTGTTCATGAACCGACTCACTGTTTTAACCACACCCTCGACCTTGTTTTGGTGTATGGTATTGAAATTAAACATTTAATAGTGTTCCCACAGAATCCCTCTTTGTCCGACCACTGTTTGATAACTTTTGAGTTTGTATTGCTGAACACGCCATTGGGCAAAATTTCTATACAAGATGTCTGTCTGATAGTGCTGTAGCTAAATTTAAGGATGCAATTCCATCAGCTCTAAATTCATTATCAAGTCATAAAGTAACGGAGGACTCCTATGCTAATTTCAGTCCCTCCATAGTCGATCATCTTGTTGATAGTGCTGCAGGCTCGCTGCGAATGACACTCGACTCTGTAGCCCCTCTAAAAAAGAAGATACTAAAACAAAGATGGTTAGCTCCATGGTATAATACTGAAACTCGCAAATTAAAGCAAATATTGCGGAAACTAGAAACGGAGGAATTGGCGTTCCACCAAAGTGGAAAATTCTCGTTTAATTTGGCAAGATAGTCTTAAAACTTATAGGAAGGCCCTCCGTAATGCCAGAGCAGCGTACTACTCGTCATTAATAGAGGAAAATAGAAACAACCCCAGGTTTCTTTTCAGCACTGTAGCCAGGCTGACAGAGTCACAGCTCTATTGAGCCAAGTATTCCCATATCTCGCAGTAGTTACGACTTCATGAGCTTCTTTAATGATAAAATTCTAACTATTAGAGACAAAATTCACCAACACCTGCCCTCAACTGGCACCAACTTATCTCTTAACTCAGGAACCTTAGAAACAGCTGTAGAACCAGATACATGTTTAGACTGTTTTGCTTCCCTCAATCTTTACAAACTAACTTCAATAATTTCTTCATCTAAACCATCAACCTGCCTCTTAGACCCCATCCCGACTAGGTTGCTTAAAGATGTTTTACCCTTAGTCAGCACTTCTATACTAGATATGATCAATCTATCTCTATCAACAGGCTATGTACCACAGTACTTTAAAGTAGCTGTAATTAAACCTCTTCTGAAAAAGCCCAAACTTGATCCGGATGTTTTAGCCAACTATAGACCTATATCTAACCTTCCATTTCTCTCTAAGGTTCTGGAGAAAGCAGTTGCTAAACAGCTGTGTGACTTTCTACAGAGCAATAGTTTATTTGAGGATTTTCAGTCAGGATTTAGAGCTCATCACACACACAGAGACAGCACTGGTGAAAATTACTAACGACCTCCTTATTGCATCAGACAAAGGACTTGTCTCTGTACTGGTTTTATTAGATCTTAGTGCTGCATTTGATACCATTGACCAGCAGATCCTATTGCAGAGACTGGAACATTTCATTGGCATTGAAGGAACCGCTCCAAGCTGGTTTAAGTCCTATTTATCAGATCGATTTCAGTTTGTACATGTTAACGATGAGTCCTCCATGCATGCCAAAGTTAGTCATGGAGTTCCTCAAGGATCTGTCCTCGGACCAATCCTCTTCACTTTATATATGCTTCCCTTAGGCAATATTATCAGGAAATATTCCATAAGCTTTCATTGTTATGCAGATGATACTCGTTATATCTATCGATCAAGCCAGATGAAACTCATCAGTTAGCTAAACTTCAAATGTGCCTTCAGGATGTTAAAACCTGGATGACCTGTAATTTTCTAATGTTAAACTCAGATAAAACTGAAGTTATTGCTCTGGGGCCTAAGCACCTCCGTGACGCATTATCTAAAGATATAGTTTCCCTGGATGGCATCGCCCTGGCCTCCAGCACCACTGTGAGGAATCTTGGAGTTATCTTTGATCAGGACATGTCGTTTAAGTCTCACATTAAGCAAATTTCAAGGACCGCCTTTTTTCACCTACGTAATATTGCGAAAATCAGGAACATCCTGTCTAAAAATGATGCAGAAAAACTAGTCCATGCATTTGTTACTTCTAGGCTGGATTACTGGAATTCCTTATTATCAGGCTGCTCGAAAAAGTCCGTTAAGACTCTTCAGCTGATCCAGAATGCTGCAGCACGTGTTCTGACAGGAACCAGGAAAAGAGATCATATTTCTCCTGTTTTAGCTTCTTTGCATTGGCTTCCAGTAAAATCCAGAATAGAATTTAAAATCATTCTTCTTACCTACAAAGCTCTTAATGGCCACGTTGAGAGCTTCAGTCTGCTTCAAAGCAGAGCTTCATGAAGAATCAAAGAGAATCTTTTATTTAAGATGAAACATTTAAAACTTGAGCGGACATGTCCTCACCTCATCTGGAGCCAACTTGAGTGAATCTGCGCTCTTTGCATCGACTAGATTTATATTTGCTTTCAGTTTGAACAAAACCACATTCAGCAATGAAAATAAACACAGTGAATATAGATGTAAAATACAGATTAATGTAAATATGTGTAACTACAGCTTAATTACAAGAATATATGTATGAATAACACAGAAACAATATTTCATTAATTGTGGAGCTTCATTCTTGACCTTGGGAACACATCTGTAATAAATGAGTCTGAACTCAAGCCTCACATTCCACCTATTTGTTGGAGATTTTGACCACATCCCATGGCCTTCTTAAAGAGTCACTAAACCCCCAAACCTCTTATTTCAGCTGATAACCAATGTGTATGGGTTTTTAGTAGTGTTGTTGATGGATTGTCTTGAATTTTTACTGCAAAGTATTTGAATTCCACATATAGTGCTATAAAATGCAGGGACTGCCCTCTACTGGTGGAAAACTGGCTACTCCAATTTACTTTTGCTATTGGCTGATAAACCCTCCGGACTGACGCTTTCCAGCTCTTTCCAAATCAAACTTCCTCAGCTGTCATCACATGACGTTAGTCCAGCACAGTCACATGATAACAGGTGGTTGTATTCAGGGCAGAGGAAACAGCTAGCTCGGCTCTGTGAAAACTGTCACACTGATGCTTTGTGAATGCATTTGTGTCTTCTAAGGGTTCTCCTCTTGGTACAAGATTTGCCACATTGGCCACAGCTGTACGGTTTCTCTCTAGTGTGAACACGTTGGTGAATTTGTTGGGCACCTAATGTAGCAAAAGTTTTTCCACACTGTTCACAGCTGTACGGTTTCTCTCCAGTGTGAACACGTTCATGGATTTGGAGGTTACCTGACTGAGCGAAAGTTTTTCCACACTGTTCACACCAGTACGGTTTTTCTCCAGTGTGAATACGTCGGTGGATTTCTAACTTATCAGATCTAGTGAAAGTTTTCCCACACTGTTCACACCAGTACGGTTTCTCTCCAGTATGAACACGTCTGTGGACTTCTAAATTATAAGATCTACTGAAAGTTTTTCCACACTGTTCGCAACAGTGAGGTTTCTCTCCAGTGTGAACACGTTGGTGGATTCCTAACTGACAAGATTGACTGAAAGTTTTTCCACACTGTTCGCAACAGTGAGGTTTCTCTCCAGTGTGAACACGTCGGTGCATTTTTAGCTCATGTGAACTACTGAAAGTTTTCCCACACTCATCACAACTGTAAGGTTTCTCTCCAGTGTGAACACGTTGGTGGATTTGTAGGACACCTGATGTAGCAAAAGTTTTACCACATTGTTCACACCTGTGAGGTTTCTCTCTAGTGTGAACATGTCTGTGGATTTCTAGGTGATCTGATCTACTGAAAGTTTTCCCACACTGGTCACAGCTGTACGGTTTCTCTCCAGTGTGAACTCTCTGATGAATCTTCAAATATCCAGATGTTGCGAAGGATTTGTCACAGTGCTGACAGCGATGACGTTCGAGTCCATCTCGTCGTCTCCGTTTCTATAGCAACAGATAAACATACAGAAAGACATGAGATGTCATGGTGGAGAGAGCTATCTAGAACCATAAACACCATACTGTACTGAACCACACACTCAGTATTTACTGTAACCTAAATAAATCATCAGTGTGTTGGGGTTTTCAACATTGGGGTTCAGGTATGTTTATTAGCTGAACATCAAAGATATTCTAGAAATATTAATAAAGCTATTAATATTCAAATGTATTAATTAATTAATTAATTAATACGGGGCACCACCCAGGAATCAGGGACCAATAACCAAATATGATCAGTCTAAAATAGGGTTTGTCCACCTGTAGATGGCAAACAGAAGGGTGAATCAGTACACTAGCCGTGGCAACCAACTCTTACTACAACATTATACACAAATATTCACAGGCAACGACTTCTTAAAATTATAATAATAGGATTAGGGAGGGGGCGGATTCGACCACTGATTTTGGAATCAAGATGGCTGTTCAGACCATGTGATTTCAGGATCAAGATGGCAGAGAATCTCCTTTCTCCTGAACTACAAAAACAAATACGGGGATGCACTCTGATGCTAGACTGCTATCGGTCCAGGTCTGGTTAGCTTCAGGAGGTCACGTGGTGAATGCATGTGGGGTTAGTATGTAGAAACAATATTCATCATATTCATCAATAGTCCTATAACCGAAAGAGCTTTCATGCTTTATAGCCCCTTAACTTGAGAATAGATATTGTTTGATATATTGGATGTCTGTCGGCCAGCAGACGACGAAAAGGACAGTCTCTTCCAAAGTGGAACTTTTCCTGTGCTGCAGTTTCTGTTACGATCCTGTCCTGAGTTTCTCTGAGTTTATTATTTTGTCAGTTCAGTATCTGTTATTTAGTCTGTATTTTGGTACCATGTCTTTGTTCCTAGTCCTGTGCCTTAATTCATGCCTTAGTATTAACTTCTAGTTCTTTGTCTGCATTATTTTAGTTTAGTCTGCTCTGTATTCTGTGTTCTAGTTCTGTGTTCTCTGTGTTATTGTCTGAAGTTAGATTCTTGTCTGGTATTTTGTAACTGTGTTCTGTCTGTGTTGGTTATTTATTTTGCCCCATGTCTGCCTGTCAAATGCTCCGTCTGTTCCCCTTTGCTGTCTCTCTGCCTGCCTGCCTCCATTTTCCCTGCTGTCTCTCTGCCTTGTCACCTTGATCCCTGTCACCTGTGTTGCTCCCACCCTGCTGGTTAGTCCCTGTGTATATATGCCTGGTGTTTCTGTTAAATCTTTGTCCAGTCATTGCAGTGTGTTGTAAGTGTGCTCGCCCTTTGTGTGCATTAATAAATCACTGAATTGTACCAGTCAGCCTGCGTGTCTTGCATTTGGGTACACCAACCTGCTCTACCCTACACCCACTGTAACAGTTTTAGCCGAAAACCAAACTTTGGAGTTTAGAGATATTGCGCAATACCAAGATGACGGCCTGAGAGTTATTTTTACACACAAAACAGCTGTTTTTGGACAAAAAAAACTTCAAAAACGGCCAAATCTAGCGGTTGTAACTGTATATGTATATTAATGCGTTTGTTGTTATTATTAACCGGCTAATAAGTCGCACCTAATCAGGGCTGATTTTGGGTCAAGCAAGTTAAAAGACTATTGCAGTAATCCATAGGGACATGTTAAACTAAGGTGAGTCCTGCAATTAGCATCACATGTGTCTTCAAACTTGCAGTCAGTCAGTCTGCCTATTTAAAGGGTGACAAGTAGTCAGTGGCGGTTTTAGTGATTTGGAGGCACTGGGCAAAGAAGAGGCCCTCCCTTCATTAATATTTTCATGAAAAAAAGCTTTTTTCAATAGCTTCTGTTTCATGTGATTCAGGGACTCCTAAAAAAAAAAAAGAAGCTGTTTTTCCATAAAATTATGAAAATATATATATATCCATCCATCGTCAACCACGTAGGTATTTCAATTGAAGACGCACGATCAAAATAAAGTATTACTGTATGTCAGCCATGACAGGAAGGAAGCACATTAAAAAAGGGACAGAACAATGGGTTGCCTGATGAGTAGTGGAGAAGTATGATAATTTGAGAGTCAAGTCATGGCAATCAGTAAAATCATAATATCTAAGTTCACCACAGTGTGTTATTCAGTCAGTGCTCAATTCAAAGCCCACAGTTCAACCACCAATGAATGAGTTTAAATCTCCACAGAGTCCATCTCAACATAAAAAAATATAAAAAAAAAATCCTCTTCTGGATCCCAGCAAGGTAACCATAAATACTGAGTGCAAAAGTTGGCCAACAAAAATAAAACCAAGTGATGCCTCGCGTCTTACAAACAAGCGATTCTCCAACAGTTACCTGCCGTAGTCTGGGCGATGTTTTGGTGTGCAGCATTTGCCTGAGTGTATTTATTGTATTCCATTGGTTGCAGGGAATGAAATTAACACCTGCCAAATGTGGGTAAATTGTGGCAGTGGGGGAGTGGAGGAGTGAAATCGTGAGGCCCCCCTGGCGGCTGATGCCCCGGGCAAATTGCCCACCTTTCCTCAATGGTAAAACCGCCTATGCAATTACTGTGTACTGTTTGGTACAATGGTGTGTACCACACTGAACATGGACTACAGAAAGCTAAGGAGAGAGCTGTCTCAGGAGATTAGAAAGATAATTATAGACAAGCCTGTTAAAAGGTAAAGGCTGTTAAGACCATCTCCAAGCAGCTTGACGTTCCTGTGACTACAGTTGCACATATTCAGGAGATTAAGGTCCACAGGACTGTAGCCAACCTCCCTGGACGTGGAAATCTGATGACAACTGGAAGAGACTGATAGTACAAATGGTAGCCAAAGAGCCCAGAACAACTTTCACAGACATTGTGGTTGATTGGAGGTGAACTCCAAGGTTGAGGTACATTATTGTCAGATCACACCATCTGTTGCTGTTTGGTCCAACATGGACTTAATGGAAGACGACAACTGTCATAAAAAAGCGAGCCTGGAATTTGCCAAAATGCATTTTGACAAGCCAGAAAGCTTATGATAGGATGTCCTTTAGAAAGATTAGACAAAACTGGACCTGTTTGGCGAGTTTACCTCAGCTCTATGTTTGCAGACGCAAAAATTACGTATGCAAAGAAAAGAACACTGTACTACTGTGAAGCATGGATGAGGCTCTGTTATGGGAATTCCAAACATATTGCATGTAACCCTGGACTCAGGGAGACTCATCTGTGATGTGGCACTGACTCTGTGTAAACGTAACAGTCAAAATATCTGTGTTCTCTGTGTTATCTAGACTTCAGGGACAACGTGTCTCTGTGGGATGATAAGATTGACCCTAAAGCTGGATAAATAACAGGCTCACTGAGCTCTCCTCACTCATTCGAGCATACATGTATGTATGTGTGTTTCTGTGAGTCCTTCTGCAGAAGACTTGAATAAAAAATCACAGAAAGACAAGTGTTTGCCTGAGCTGTTTATTTGAAAACTCGAACTGCCATCACAGGCTCTGTTATGTTTTGGGGCTGCTTTGCTGCATCTGACACCGGGTGTCTTGAATCTGTACAGGGTACAATGAAATCTCAAGACTATCAAGGCATTCTGGAGCAAAATGTGCAGCCCAGTGTCAGGAAGCTTGGTCTTAGTCGCATATCATGGGTTCTCCAACAGGATAATGACCCACAAATCAGCTAAAAACACCCAAGAACGGCTAAGAGCAAAACATTGTACTATACTGAAGTGGCCTTCTATGAGCCCTGATTGAAGTCCTATTGAACATCTGTGGACGGGCCTGACACCCTTCAAACCTGAAACAGCTGGAGCAGTTTGCTTATGAGGAGTGGGACAAAATACCAGTTGACAAGTACAGAAGTCTCATGGAAGGACTGCCTCAAAAGGTTGTGCAACAAAATGTTACTTTCATGGTACTATCATTTTTGTCCAGGCCAGTTTCAATAGTTTGTTTTTTTAAATGATTCTGTTTAACCACAATTCAAAAGCATTGTCTGATTTTCATCAGTAAATTTTTATGTATTATTACTTTTGTCAGTTCAAAGTTATTTCAGGAACCACTGTGGGTTTTTCTTTCTTTAATGGAACCAACAATTTTGTCAATGTCTGTAAATTACTGTTGAACCAGATGCCTAGATTATTAGCAACAGGCTTAAGGTGATTCACTAGGGATCCAGCAGATGGCAGTATTTGCTTTGCATTTGCCAGGATCTCCGTTTTGTTCAGCTGGAGGAAATACATTTTTGACATCACAAAGGCAGTCGGTAAGTGAACTCCGCATTCCAGGGTCTGTGGATTTGACGGGCAGGTAGATCTGTGTGTCATCAGCATAAATATGAAAAGAGACACGTTTCTGGATAATGTGTCCAAGGGGAAGTAAATACAAGGAAAATAAAATGGGTCCTAAGACTGACCCCTGAGGCACACCATATTTACCTGAACAGAATGAAGAGACAGTTATTCACAGACACACAGAATCTATTTGACAGGTTGGATGTAAATCATTCTAAAGCTTTACCAGAGATCCCCACCCAGTGCCTCAGTCTGTGTAACATGGTGTTGTGATCCGTGGTGTCAAATGCAGCGCTAAGATCCAGGAGTACTAGGACTGAGCACATGCCATCATAAGCAAACATTAAAAAGGTCATTGGTGACTTTAAGCAGGGCAGTCTCAGTGTTGTGGTACTTTCTGAAACCAGACTGAAACTTTTCAAATATTGTTTTCCAGTAAAGAGAGCAGTTGTTTGGACACAATTACAGTATGTCTAAAATCTTTGATATAAAAGGTAATTTGGAAATTGGTTGAAAATTTTTGAGGGAGGGATCCAGGCCCAGCTTTTTAAGTGGGTTTACGCAAACAGTTTAACGAGTAGATAGGGAGTTGTTAAAAACAGAAATCTAATGGGCCCGACAGAATCCGTTACTTTTGTTGATACTAAGTCAAGGGGGCTGTGAAGACACTGGCTGCTTGTATGTTGTGAATATTGTGTGTGATTTGTGATGTACTCTTGCAAA